GATCGCCCCATATAACCCAAGTTACCTCCTTTCTAAGGGACCTAGGGTTTCCATTTCCTAGTCCATGCTCTTTTCCATTTGATTCCTGTAGTTGAACTGGTGCGCCTGCGTAGGCCGTAGGCTGCTTTCGCTCATCCTCCCGCGCGGTTCAGAGTTTCGAGCTTAGGCTTCGTGCTCACAGGTGGCTACTTGGAGATACACCCGGAATGAGTCCTCAGGACCTGGACCCCTAAACCCTGACCCCTACCTGGAGGTTCATGGGAAATAGGAAACAACTTCTAACTGGGTCCCTTTAAGGGGGTTATAGGATGTATAGGGTTTAGGGTTTAGGGTTCATGGGACTTAGTAACTACTTATAACTGGGCTTATAACCCTACTTATAACCCCCCTAAATGACCTTATAGGGGTTGCCCCAATTATAAGTAGGGTTATAACCCTAGTTATAAGTAGTTACTAAGTTCCATGAACCTCCAAGTACTAGTCTTGGGAATTCTATAGGCGCCACTATGTGGATCCATTCCTCCATTCCCACCCCAACACTAGGTTGTTATTGTTAGCTGGCCTTCTCCAAAGCCCCAGTTCTGATAAACACAGGTTCCAAGATTGATGGGTTCGGATGTTATTTATCCCCTAAACCCTAAACCCAATGTGGCCATTTGACTGCCTGGCACCTCCTTACGTGGGTTTAAGAGCGTAGGGTTTAGGCTTCAGAGTTTTGAGGCTTGAAAAGCGCAGGCATGTGTCAGTGCTAGCAGCCGGTAAGTCCATATGAACAATAGTCTAAACTGCTAGTATCCCACTTAATAACCCCTATAGTAGTCCCAAATAGAATCCTCTACATAACCCCCTAGAAGGAGCTAGACTATAGCTCACAATTGAGGATCAGTTTCGTCAGCAGCAGTGCCACAGGCCTGTGGACTCTGGCCTAAAGCCCTCCCCTTACTGAACCCCAACCCACCCCTTAACAAACTTTCCCAGTACTGTGGCGCCAGTACATACTTGGGGGGATATTCTTTATAAACGTCTACTATCAGCAGTGGTAGATCAATCGCACACACAAACACAAGGCGCAATGACATCAATCCTTCAAACCCAGTTAGCTACTGGCCCCCCATGCTTAATAGTCACGCATGAGACCCTAATTAAAGATATAGTAGCACTACAGTTACAGCTTCTGGGTGGGTGGGGGCGGTAGCCAAAAGGTTTAGGGTCCTCCAGAAACTCAGACCACTTCAGACCTTGACACCATCAACACCAAGAACCGCACGCCCTTCAGAACCATCTGTACCAAACACAGTCCTAGTAGCAATGCATCGTGCTATTGAATCATGGAAGTGACTGACATCACAGCAATGCCAAGTCCGTTCTTTTGTCCAAGTACCAAAGTAATACATAATTAACTTCCCCCAAACGTATGCCACATCTTCTGTTACCTAAGCACTACAAAAACGAAACCATCGAAATGCAGTAATTGCACCCTCAGGGAGTTGCAGTTCGAAGAACAAGCCGACAGACTTATGACCCCGAGTCACCACATAACGACCGCAGTTATCCCCACTTTTCATTTTCACTTGCTAGATTGCGCCGTTCCTGCAAGTCAGCATGGTTCAAGCCGTACCTCGTAGGCTTTTATTTGAGAGTAGTGCGCTACAATAATGTCAACCAAGGCCCCTACACGCAAGGTTTAGGGTGTTCAATAGGAGTCTTGGTTAATCCACCCCCGACATGATAAAATCCTCACTTAGCACTTTCCATCCGTGCTCCATTAAAGAGACCTTAAGTTTCGCTTTCATTTTTTTGGGGTTGTCCATGTGCTTTTTCCATTTCTATTCCTTGAACCCTACACACTCCTCCTTTGCTCCACTACACCACCGAGATAGGAACTTCCACTTGACTTTTCCTTCCTCCGATTTCCTCCCAACTCCGCTGAGGCCTCTCCAGCCATTTCACGGCTTCCTCAGCTTGGCCTCCAGGGCTCAAAGTTTAGGATTTAGGGATTAGGATTTAGGGTCTAGGATTTAGGGTTTAGGATTTAGGGATTAGGGTTTAGGATTTAGGGTTTGGGATTTAGGGTGTAAGGTTACAGGACTTCGGGTTTAGGGTTCAGGGTTTAGGATTACGGCTTGTTGAGGTTCAGGATTCAAGTGTTTGGGGCTTCAAAGGGGTTACAGACATTATATAGGGATCTAAAGGGTTTTGGAGGGTTGAGGAGTTGGTGTTTGGGGCTCAGCGTTTAAGGGTTAAAAGTTAAAAGCTTTAAAGGCTTAGGGTCCGCCCTAAACCTAAGATTCAAAAGGTTCAGGGTTGACAAAGCATTGGAGGATATCCTGCGCCACGGGATCTCTCAAGGTACTGTACTTTCAGAATCCTACTGGTGCTTCAGGGTGAGTTGGGGAGTGAACATGGGTACCATTATAGGGGTATATATATGGAAATTATACGGAGATTAAACAGGGATTACTACTATAGAAATCCACTGAACCACTCTCCCTTAGGCACCAGCAAGTAGTGTTTCAGCAAAACAAACAGGGTTTGCAAGGTGACAATGCGATGATGCTAAGAATGGTGATGATGATGATGATGACGGTGGTGATGAAGATGATTATGGTCATGGCGGTGACAAAAAACTGTAACCAGTTCCACGTTCTTCAGTGATATTTCTTGGACTCGGGAGCTATGTACTACCGAGAACAAGCCCCTTAATCCACCATGTTTCTGGCAAAATTTGAAGGGCGCTACTTACTTGCAAAGGATTACGAGAAGGTCTTCGGAGCCTCTATGAAAGCATTATAATATGATGTTCCGTGAACTCCCACATGAATGAGAAATTTTGGGGTCAGCAACCCATGCTAAATCCAACCACCGCCGCTGGCTTGTGAAGGGCAATTGTCGAGGCCTGAAAATAACCAAAGGGTACCATCCAAATATGAGCCTGATATAGCTATAGTATACTGTAGGGGCCGAAGCAATTACAGTACTTTTTTGGGGGTATAGATAGGGGGATGCCATCATTCCTGAAGCACTGCAGCAAACGCCAATATAGTCCCATTTGCCATTTCAGTTGCCATGTTCGGTTCTATTTGATTCTCTTGAGTACTTTGGCCCCTAGATCCCTGAAGCTGAACTCTCTCTCTCTCTCTCTCTCTCTCTCTCTCTCTGTCTCTCTATATATATATATATGCTACCCCCCCCCTAAAACCCGCGTTTAACAGAAAAACCATGGCCTGCGCGCCCAAAAGCACTTTCCAAACAGCCTTTCCTGGGAAATATACATTTCATCCTAAATATGTTATTAATATTAGAGATATCCCTTTGCTANNTTTGTTAGAAATTAGTAGGGCAGTTGCATATAGAAACTGATGATCAAAACAAAATTATATAGGATCCGCATGTCTACACGTACATGCCGTACTAATTATTAACGAATACAAAGCTGCGACCTTCCATTCATGAGACTGCAATGCTTGCCTG